CTCATTTTATTTTAGCTGTGTCCATAGCTGTGTTTTCTGGGATATGTAATCTTGTGTATTGTATTAATGGTCTGTTGATATTTGCTATTTTTGGTTTTCTGATCAAAGTACTCCCTTAGCATCTCTTGTAAGATTGGTCTGGTTTTAACAAATTCCCTTAGTTTCTGCTTATCTGGAAATCTCCTAATTTCACCATCATATTTGAGGGACATTTCTGCCGAGTACATAGTTCTCAATTGAAAATTTTTCTCTTTCAGGGTTTTATATATACCATCCCATTGTCTTCTCGCTTGCATGGTCTCTGCTAAGAAATCAGAGCTTATTCTTACTGGCTGACCTTTGTATGTAACTTTTTGTTTTTCCCATGCTGCTCTCAGGATTCTGTCTTTGTCCTTGGTTTTGAGGAGTTTGATGATGATATATCTCAGTGATTTTCTTTTGGAGTCTATCCTGTTTGGGGTTCTTTGGACTTCCTGAATGGATATGTTCTCCTCTTTCATCATATCAGGGAAGTTCTCCTCCAGCAAATCTTGGAATCTGGTAGAGCATTGTCTCTTTAGGTTGTCTCTAGGTGCTGGTTACGTGTTGATTTGTTTTGTCTTGGTTTTACCATTTAATATTTTGAGAAGCTGTAGCTGGTGTGTTTTATCTTAATATTGATTCAGGTGTGTTGGGTTGTTCTGTTGTTCTCTTTGTGATGGTGGAATCATTGTGTGTAGTGTGGATATGTGTTTCTGTTTTTCGTACAGAGGGTTTAGAGTTCGAAGCATGAGGTTTTATGGTAATTGGCTGAATATAGTTTCTTCTATTGAATGAGTGAAGTTATTGGTGGAGAAGTTGGAGGAGAAGAAGGAAAGCTTAGTGTTGCTAAGGTCGGTTTCTAGGGCTTTGAGCTGGGTATTATTGATGATGTCTTTATTTGCAAGACTGCGGCTCAACCTCAGGAAAAAATTCCTCTTGTTAGAGGGTCACAAATTTCTGCTAATTTCAGGCACACTCAAAGACCCCGACTCCGCGGCCCCACAGCACCAAAGCGTGGCTCCAAGGCAAAATTTGGGGACAGGGCTCAGCTGCAGTTTCTTTGTTCTCTGTGTCCCTTCTGCCCACGGTGCTTACTCAATCCAGCCAGACCGCCAATGGCCAGCTCTGGAGTTTGTCTGTGATACCACCCCCCTGAAGCACCAAAGATGTGTGCAATTTCAGGTGTGTTGAACTCCGGGGAGTACCTGAGCAGGCTCTTACTTATGACATATTTATTTGCAAGACAGTGGCTCAATCTCAGGAGAGATTCATATTATTAGAGGGTCACAAATTTCTGCCAATTTCATGCACACTCAAAGCCCCTGTCTCCATGGCCCCACAGTGTCAAAGCAAGGCTCCAGGGCAAAATTTGAGTGAGCATGCTCAGCTGCGGTTTTTATTGCTCTCCATGCCCCGTCTGCCCTCAGTGGTAACACAATCCTGCCCAACTGGCAATGGTCGGCTCTGGAGTTTGTCTGCGATACCACCCATCTGTGGTGCCAAAGATGCATGCAATTTTAGCTGTGGTGGATTGGGGGAGTACCTGCCAGTGACCTGCGGTCCTGATAACCATGGCAAAGAAAAGCATGATGTCTCCCAGTCTGACCCAAACCCGCTCTGTAATCTGCTGGGAGGGGAGAGAGTTAGCCTTTCTGGTGCACCAGTGAGATCTTGACCTGAGTCTCAGCAAAGGTGTCCGTGTCCTGCTGCACCCTCACCACCCAAATTACTGACAAAATCAGCCACTGGAGACAGGTCTTTGCCACTGTCCACTGGAATATTGTATTGGTCACTGGTAAGCTGCTATAAGTGATCTTGTTCTTGGCTCGGGGATCTCAGGCTGCTGCCTCTGCTTGGCAGACAGTGACTGCCCCAGAAAGGTTTCCAATGGTCTCTCTCAGGTGCCCGTTCATCTTCTGGCAGTAGCTCTTTCCTAAAAAACCCTCATGTGCCTTTCCTCCAATTCTGCTCTTCTGTGTTTGGTGCGATCTGATTCAGTGAGCTGTTCAGAGCACCAAAACTCTCAATTCAAACTGTTGTACCTAGTTCTTAAAGTTCTTAGATGCCAGAGGGAAAAAAACCCAGTGCTCACTGGCAAGATTCCATTTTGAATCCTAATGGCAACTAGTTTTAATGTTTATTTAATACAGTATTAAAATGTTTTTAAGAGCAGGAATAATTTTTTGTTGGGAAAAAAAAAAAAAAAAGAAGAAGAAAAAGGGGGGAGAGAGAGAGAGAAGAATTTCTCCCAAGTGTTGTGATGGAGAAATGAAATTCCACGTGGCCAGTCCGCAGACTTGGAATTGTTGCCTTTCATCTGTCAAAGACTGATCTGGCTTTAAGTGTCCTTGGGAGCTCTTGCTGAATACAGGAAGTCTCAGCACCTATAGACTGCATTCTCCAGCCCCACGCAGAGCCCTTATCATTTCCTCCCAGTCCAGGCAGATCGTGTTGCTGAAGTAGCCCTGCTTCTCCAGAAAGGGGTGCTAACCTGGCAGAGAGTGGGCTGGGAATCACTCTCTCCCCTCTAGGGCAGACAGTGCTTCTATCCTTCTGGGGACTTTAAAACTCAGTGTAAGCAAAACAGGTGGAGCTGGAGGCTGCGGGAGGAGCCCAACCCAGCAAATACCACTGAAGCCTGCGCAAACACAGGGGTATAAAGGAGTCTCAGCACAGACACGCGCAGCCAGTTGAGCAACGACAGTCTGTGGTACCATGGAGGCCAGAGCACTCTGGCTGCTGGCTGTGGTCCTGGCCTTGGGGTTTTCCAGCTCGGCTGGGGAGTATGTTGGCCTGTGTGAGTACTGCCTCTGGAAGGAGGGTCACTGGTGGGCAGGGAGGATGCATAGTGAGGGAGAAGGACATAGAGAAACTCTAGGCTGATGGTGCTCTGTGTCTTGAGATCTAGAAAAATGGCCATGCTTCCAAGTTAATTTAATACTGACCATCTGTTAGTTGCACACATTTTCTCACAATGGTCGTACAAAGAGGGTCTATTGTCCAATAGACAAGGAAACCAAGGCTCAGGAAAGATTCATAACTTACCTAAGGCAACCCGCCCAGTCAGTGTTGCAGCTAGCCCCCAGTGGCCTCTACCATTCCAAGATCGTTTTTGACCAAGATTTCTGCATTGCAATCTGTCTTCAGACATCTGTTGGGCACAATTACAAAACAAAAAGGAAAGACAAGTGTAAGCGATTATTTCCAGAACTTTTTCAATGTGCATATGAAGAGAAGGAACATGGTTTTCATTGAGTCTTTCCTTGCATTCAGCTCCAAGTGGGAGATATGGCTGTTCCCTTAACCTAAGCTTGAAGGGATTAGGGTGTGGTTTTATCTGGTTATCTAGTGAGTAGGACCAAAGGCAGTGATCCTTAACTTGAGAATCCCCTGGAGAGCTTTGAAAAATCCCAAAGCCTGGGCTGTACCAAACTGACCAGTCCAGAATCTTTCAATGGGGGCCAGAGAGAGGGAGTGTTAAAGACCCTCAGCTGGCCCAGTGTGCAGCCCAGCTTGGGAATCACCACATAAGGAATTATGAACTGGCAGGAGCAGAAGAGATTTAAGAGGTTTCATGCGATTTCTATCTTCCTAAAGGAAAAGCCAGTTAGTTAATGAGACTAAGTCAACTTTGCTGAACATAAAGGTATATTAGGCTTACTTGAAAAAAAAAAGAATATTGGAGACAGAAGGTTATATAAAGAAACTGAGAAGGTATACAGTTATGGATGGGGTGATAGAGAGAAGAAATTAAACATGCTCAGTCTACGTGGTGATATTCTCTGGTGAGTGTGTAAATATTTGTCATAAAACAGTCACGGTACATTTTGTTTGATAAAACAATGAAAGAGAAATTTGTTTCCAGGTTCAGGAGACCCTGGGTTTCTATAGGTCCCTGCCAGCTGGAGGGTACCCAGGCTGTATTTGACTTCCTGGAAAAGTGAAACATAACATATCGACTGAGAGAGACACTGGGGCAACTAACCAGACTTCCTGGGTCCCCGAGGCTGCTGTGTTTAGCATTTAACAGACATTTATCTTTAACTACATAGTCCCTGGGTGGTACAAATTGTTTGTGCTTGCCTACTAACTGGAAGATTGATGATCTGAACCCACTCAGTGGTGCTATGGAAGAAAGGCTTGGTAAACTACTTCCATAAAGATTACAGCCAAGAAAACCCTATGGAGCACAGTTCTACCCCATCACACATGGGGTCGTCATGAGTCTGAATGGACTTGACAACAACAGGTTTGGTTTATTGACACAGAAAGAGGAGGTTGGAGGGCAGAAAGTATCACAATAATTTGAACTCAGGACTGGTTGGGATTGGGGGAGAGATGGAAGTAGAAAGTTGCTAAAAGGAGCAAACAAAGCAACCCAAAACCTGTAAGTTCTCAGACACTGACTGGGCTTTGTCTGAGACAGCGGCAAACCAGTGTGCTGTGCCAGCCAAGGACAGGGTGGACTGCGGCTACCCCGAGGTCACCCCAGAGCAGTGCAACAACAGAGGCTGCTGCTTCGACTCCAGCATCCCTGAGGTGCCCTGGTGCTTCAAGCCTCTCCAAGAAACAGGTGAGTCCCTGAGCACATCTGCACAGTGGCCTTGGACAGCCCCACAGGGTGCTGTGTCCAAGGGCAGCCACTTGCTTTCTGTGGCATGAAGAGGAGGGTTAAGGTGTCTCAGAAGCTGCACACATTTGGGCCCTCAGGAGGACCTCCAGCACTGTTGCCATTTGCTGCACAAGGCTCATATCAGAGGCTTCATGCACCGGGCAGCAGGTGGATGGTGACTGCCCCCTTCTCTCACTTTACCAAGGGGTTTGTGAAAAATGCATAAGCAATTGTTTTAAACAGGTGCTCAAAGTTAAGTTGACAGAAATAATTTAAAAACAGTTCTAGAGACAAACAGGAAAGGAAAAGTGCCAACTTGGAAAGGTAGTCTGGGTTTTGAGACCATTTCAAGCAAAGAAGCTAACCTAGAGCTCCTTGACATTTGTGACTTGCATGCTTTGTTAGACAGCAGACAGGAGGTAGTGCTGGGCAGGGACATTGAAGGAAGTGTCCTTGACTGGGCCATGCTCTCCCCACTATGCGGTATGGTCATCCAGGGCCCATTCTCTGAAGGAGCCATGCTTGATCCAATGTCTTGCTATTGCCATCTTGAAATTCTTAGTAATTTTATTTAACCATTCTGTGCTGAGCACCCCTAAACTATGTAGCTGGTTCTGGTCTAGCCCACAAAGAAACCCAGGCACAGAGCCTCAGTGTAATCTGCCAGGCAGTACAGGTACTTCTAATGGCACATTTCCTTTCAATGGCTTTATCTGTGGGGGGCCATTCCACATCTCTCCACCACCCTCCCCTACTCTGTCCCCGCCTCTTGCCCTTCCTTTTCCCTCCCCTCCTCTCTATCCCTCAGTTGGTCATGCATTGGACCACAGGGTAATTACCTGGGGACCTCTCCCTTGGCAGGTGTGTACATGTGCAAGTGACAGATGGCAGAGCATGGGTGGTTCACTGCCTTGGTACCTGCCAGGCTCGCCCACCTCATCTAGAACTTGGGTTCAGCTATAAGCCATTTGGCATGTCTTAGTGCCAGCTCACCTTCTAGGACATGCCTCACACCAGCATGTCCCAGGATCACAGCTGAGCACTGGTAAGGGAGGTTCTGTCCCCTGCTCCAAGGCCTCTTCCCAGCAAACTGGGAAAGGAGGCCAAGATGGGGCTTTGGGACAAGGAGAGAGTCAAACTCTTGTCTCTTCACTGGCTGTCCCCAGATATTCCTTCGGCTCCTTGTTCTGGGACAAAGGTTCCTTGAGCTCTGGCAGTGGCCCTACCCAGATCCACCTCTTTCATGTTCTGCCTCAGCCACTTTTGTTGTTGTTGTTGTTATGTGCCATTGAGTTGGATTTGAGTCATAACAACCTCTCCCTGGATTTCCAAGGTGGTATCACTATGGAAGTAGATTGCCCAACTTTCCTTCCGAGGAGTGGCTGGTGGGTTTGAACCACCTGCTATCTCACTCACTGATTGAAAAGAGGGTCATGTGGCTCATCTCCCCCTCAGCAGGGGATGCAACATTTCCCCAGGGACTTAAGGAAGCAGGAGGCACCAATGCCGACGCTGAGCCTGTCTTGACCTTGAGAAAACAGCAACTGGCAGGTGAACACAAGCCTGCTCACAGTGACCCTTTTGTTTGCTTCCAGAATGCACATTTTGAAGCAGTGCCCGCTTGCCCTGGACAGCCTTGGATGTGAACCTCACCTTCCTGGTGCCCTGCCCTCAATTCCTTGCAGGGTGCTATGGCCTCCCATCCTGCTCCTGCCAAGCCCTTCTGCTGACTGCTTCACCCTCCATGTGAGGGTAGTGCCTTACAAAATAAAGATCCCCTGCTCAGCACGAGGACAGTTCTCCATTCCTGAGACTTGATGCTGTTGTGTTTTATTTCTGCAAAGTTGCTCTCTCCTTTCTCAGCACTCCCAGATGGGGCAAGGTGGGGAGGTGGTCAGCTTCTCTGTGAAGGAGGTCCAGCCCAGATTCCAGGCCTCATGAGTTGGAAAATAATTCCCAAGTGGCTGCATGGCTGTGAGGGTGTTACAACTCTCAGGCCTAGTGCTGACATAAGAAAGGCAAGCAAATTTTGTAAGTGGTCACTTCCTCATATTAAGTTGAGAAAAGACACAAATCCCATCAAATGCAATTAAAAAAGAAAATGATTATTAATATCTTCCACACCAATAAAGCCTTCTCATGCACTGGTACTTTTTTGGTATTTCTTTGCAAGTCAAGTTAAACAGCTATGATATTTTGGATGGCTGCCTTTTACTTTTGGTTTCCTTGTGAAAACAGATGCAGCTGTGAGAATAAATGGACTAGTGTCAAGGAGGAGACCCGGAGTGATGCAAATGGTTAACACCCTTGGTTGCTAGCCGAAAGGTTGGAGGTTCAAGTCCACTCAAAGGCACCTCAATAAAAAGGGCCTGGGGATCTAATTCTGAAAAATCACTTCATGGAGAACAATTCTACTCTGACATACATGGGTCACCATGAGTCAGGGTCAACTTGATGGTGTCTGGCTGTTAGGGTCACAGAGGATCCAGTTGTATTCTGATGTGCATGGGGTTTCCAAGAGAGGGATGACAACTGCTACTGGCACTCTTCTAGGAATGCTGTCAGGCAGAGGGGCCTAGCCCCAGGTGCACACTCAAATACAGTGGCCACTGTTGTGAAGGGAGCCATTGTACCTCTTCCAGTGAGGTAAAGGTGCTCAGATCAGGAAATCCCACCCCTAGAAGCTACAAACCTTAGGTCCCCATGTTGCTTCCTCTTCCCTGGAGCCTCCTCCCTCTCCTTCCCACATTTTCAGGAACAATGGGAAGGTTTGAGTGTGGGAAGCTGAATAGACACTGATTGGTTTTCTGCCCTTGGCTAGGCTGAGCCCCAAATGCTGTGTGTGTCTGCTCATGGAACCTTCTTCAAGACAGACACAGATACATAAATCCACTGAGCTGCCATCACATCCCAGAGCAGCCAGAATTGTGCCTCTTCCAGGGGTGGGATTTCCTCATCCGAACCCTTTCTCTCCACTGGAAAAAGTACAATGGCTCCCTTCGAAATGGTGGTCACTGTGTTTGAGTGTGCACTTGAGGCTAGGCCCCTCTGCCTGACAGCATTCCTAAAATAGTACCAGCACCAGTTGTCATCCAGTGGACTCTTTCACCTGGAAACCCCATGTGTGTCAGAGTACACTAGTGGCCACACAGCTCCCTCTGCTGGGCAAAAGGAAGAACTGCTCCATAGGGTTTTCAGTGGCTGACTTTTCAGAAGTAGATCATCAGGCCTTTCTTCCAAGTTACCTATGAGTGCATTCCAAGTGTCAGCCTTAAGGTTAGCAGCTGAGCACATTAACCACTTGTACCACCCAGGGACTCCACAATCCTTAGACATGAGCTATCATTACCCTTGTTTTATAGGAAAAACATTGTCAGTAACTGATCCAGAAGCCCTCTGATGAGAAAAGATGGTATCAGGACTGATCTCTGATTCCAAAGCCTTATATGCCCCTTCTAAAGCCCAGGTGGGTCACCTTTGAGACCATAGATTGAGTCTTTGTGAAGTCAGACCAAGTGAAGCATGCCCCCTCCCCCAGTCAAGACTTTGCCACCCAGAGCAATTCTGGCCCAAACATCATACTGGTTCTGTCTCTCTACGCCTCTTTCCTCCCAGACCATGCTAAACTTCTGGGAACAGGCCAGACCCTCAATGAAGGGATCTGAGGTGTTGCCCAGCCCCTGTCAGACTGCTCTCCAGTTGTTGGCTAGAGGTGAGCTGCCCCCGACCCAGCCTTCTGTCCCTTTCCTCTCCAGCATTCCTGAACTCCATCTCTTCTTGGAGGTTCCACTCCCACTCACCCTGACACTGTGCCTGGTCAGCTCACCTCTGCTGGCCTTAACTCCATAGTTTGGCTCTGTTGGGTGGACTCCTACATACTGACCCATGGCCACCAGGGGAGGACAGATGGCAAGCAATAAGGGGTCATTGCTGCCTCAGAGGACAAGAAGGGAGTGATGATAACACCTCACACCCATTTAGGGCAACTAAAATGAGGGTTCATTTCACATTATCTTTATCATATGTGCCTTGGAGAGGGAAACAATGAGTTCATGCATGACAGCCAAGGACACACTGCCACCCAGTGGACCACAAGGTTCTGAGGCAGTGTCCTGAGGTGGTCCAAATAACCATTTGGTTTATGTGCTCTGTAGCCCAGCAGGGGCCCTGCAAAGAGGGCTTGACACCTTGATAAGAACAGGACATGTGGGTGCCACACCTGCTCCCCATGCTCAGCCATCTTGCCTGTGGGCAGAGAATCAAAGTCCAGGGACAAGTCCCCTGAAGGAGCACTGGGTTCTAAGGCTTCAGGATTCCTCCCTCTTTCAGGTGGGGCTGGGTGGCTCTGGTGGGCCTTTCAGCAATTGTGATGCAGACGCTCTCTGCTGGCCACTTGGTCAGAGTCACTGCATCTCTGGACACTATTGGACTGTCCAGGCTACTGGCACCTCTGTGGAGGGAGAATGGTCCTTGCCCCACATTTGTTGGCTGGTCATAGGTCCCATCTTGAGAAGCCCTGTTTCCCAGAAGATTGGAAAGATCACCCAGGGTCAGACTCAAATGCTGACACCAACACCATCCCCAGCATAGGAACCTCGTCTGGTGACCTCCTTGCTCAGGGGAATTGGAATGGTCTTCAGGTGGGCAGGTGGGGGTGTGAGCTGGCAGCTCTCACAGCCAGGCCATGGTGTTCTCGTTTAGCATAAACAATTCCACAGAACCCTAACAATGTGACCAAGATGGGTCAAGACACAAAAAAGCCATTATCCAGTCTGCACAAAGAGAAAACAAGGAATTCATCCAACCACAGTAGTGGCCACACTAGTGGCCACACAGCTCCCTCTGCTGGGCAAAAGGAAGAACTGCTGCCCCTTACCAATCCCAGCTTTACCCTCCTGATCCTTCCTACCTTCTAGATGAGATTTAGCATAGTTAATACTAGAACAGGCATTTGACTGCTAACCAGAAGCCTGGCAGTTTAAACCCACCAGCAACTCCTCTGAAGGAAGATTTGGCAATCTACTTCTGTAAAAATACTGCCTTGGAAACCCAAGGAGGAGTTGCTAAAAGGAGCTCTGGTGGTGCAGTACCTAGGGCATTTGCTAACCTGAAGGTTGGTGGTTCAAACCCACCACTTCACTGAAGGAAGGCCATAAAGATTTACTTCCATAAAGATTTACCACCTCGGAAACCCAATGCGGGACACAATTCAATCTTACAAGTTCTAACACGCTCTTATTAAGACATCCCCATGGTGTGTGATGTCCTTTTTACCTTAAACCACCCAACTTTGTTTGATTACAGGGGTGTCCCTGGTAGTCTGTAGCTGGAGGACAGTGACAGGATACAGGCCCAAAAGGTCTTTCTTCTCTCTAAGCCTGCTTCTGAGTTTCCTCATATCTGGCCCCTCCAGGGCTTAGTAGGGTGAGAGGCACTCAGGTTAAGGGCCATGCTTTCTAAAACAGTGTTCCTCAGTGATCCTCTGCCACAGAGGATGTTTGAAAATCTGTAGGTGTGTTTTTGAGTGTCAAATGAGTCAGGGGTGGTTGTGCTAGTGGCCCTGGGAGCCCAAGTGCTGCCCCTTCCTGGCTTGGGAAAATTGAAAGTCACAGTGAGAGCTCTAAACCTCCTTCCCTCCTCTTCTCCCTCCCTCTCTCTCAGCTAAACTTCAGGAAATGGGGTGCAAAGCTGTACTTAGGTCATAGGTGGGATCACAGATTATGAACCCTCATCTTATTCCAAGCATAAACTGCCACATTCATGTTGAGTTTATAAATGACCTTCACTTTCCACCAATGAAGGGAAAACTTCATCCTGGCAGAAAATCCAGGAGTTTTATCATTATCCTTTCCCTGCAATGGAGCCTTATTTCAGATTTAGT